CGGGCTTTCCGTAATTTGTGAATTTTCACATTTAACGCCACCGACAGATTCCTTCGAGAAACTGTGTGGCGTTAATCGATAATACGAGCACAAATACCACGTGGAATCAGGGCAATGCTGTGATTCGTGACGCGGGAGTGGGTAATTTCCGAGGTGCTCTTAAAGGCAGCATCAGTCTCCTCGATCCTGGGTGTGTGCGGTCAATTCAGTCTGAGGGAGAAAACACCAGGAACACCAGGTCCCGTCTGTGCCTGTCATCTGTCACGTCGTTTTGAAACTCTTACTCCCTTCTTCTCACCGGACAGACTGACATGGGAAACCATCCGAGCTAGTTCGCGAAGAGGACACAAATTCAGGGAGGCTGTGCTAAAAAAAAAAAAAAATCGCCAGGTTAGTTATAACGCTAGCTCCATTACTCTCGTTGACGTGCTGAACTCAGTTGCTTCATCTTCAAGTGGACGTTAACAAGCGGCTCATAGCCACAGTAAGTAAATTAATTTAGACATGGAATGGACTCATTTAAGCCATTTAAATCGTGGGCAACCCGGCTGGTAAGCTGAGATGGTTATTGCATGCCATCGCTTAGCTATGCAGGTAGTCACTACCTAGCTAGCGAGCTAACGTTAGCAAGTTGGGTTAGCCAAAAGAGAGTGTGTGTGTATGTGTGTGTGTGTGTGTTTCGCTGATGCTGACACTCATTCACGGAAATAAAAACGTTTGGAAACTTGATAATGTGGCCCACGAGGGCGGTCAGCTGCACCAGGCAAGATAAGTAGGAAGCGTCACTTCTGGTTGTGTTTAGTATCTTTTAAACCGAGTCGTGAACTTGAGCATTCCCCTTCATTGCACGTTGTGACACTTAATGATTTATGGGTTTTTTTCTTTCTTCTCTCCTGTCACAGGTTGAGCCTTCTTCAGTCACACAGTTCACCACCACCTGCCGACAAAAAGGACCCCGGAGCCACACAGTGGACATGCAGACCTTCCTAAAAGGCCGGAGAGTCGGCTACTGGCTCAGCGAGAAGAAGATGAAGAAGCTGAATTTTCAGGCCTTTGCTGACTTGTGCAGGTAATTTACTCAACGCCCATTACTTAGTCCAGGGCAGGTGATTTTTTTTTTAAACCGACTTGTCAGACATGGCTTGAAGTACACTCTTAATAGCAAACCTGCATCATTAACTATCTGTGTCACAGTGTGTTAGGAGGCATGCAGACTCGGCACTTCCTTATAATTAGTCAATGACAAAAGGGACGGATTATCATCTCTTCTCCTTTTTTCAGCTAATAGCCCCTGGGCAGTTTTCATTTGTGTGTTCTCTTTTGTACTTGAAATTGGCATCACTGACCTCCCTGCTCTTGTCCCTTTTAAGCGTTTGAAGTTAAACTTCAAGTGCTTATGGAGACAAGGTGCAATAAGGAAATGTGTGTAGACACTTCTATTGTCCCAAGGTGTGTGTGTGTGTGTGTGTGTGTGTGTACAACAGGAAAAGCAGCCGAAACGGGTGCTTTTGTTGAGTCAACATCCTGAAGCATAAAACTGTCGTGCAGGTGTGTGGTCAGGAAAAAAAAAGTGTTGTCAACAAGCTCTACTCCACGTTAACCTTTGACCCTGACAGTATCTTTCATTGATTGGATTTTCAACGAGGACAGTCTTGGGTTTCGGTCTCGAGTTGAGAGATTTTACTGTCTACAGAAATGATGATAACGCGAGTTTGCTCAAGGGGTGTTTCTCCACAGTGGTAAGGGGTTGTTTCAGTTTACAGTCTTGCGAGAGTAGCTATATGAGTCTTCGGTGCATGTTATCTTGTTCTAGCTTATCCATCTCCAGCCAAGTAAAATGTTATATAAGGTGTTATAAAGTAGGGCATGGCTTTGAGTAGACGTTGACTCTCCCTCCCTCTGATTGACACAGGGCATCTGATTGAGAATGTTTTGAAGGTGTGTCTGCAGCCTCATGATGCAGATACCTGTATTGTGAGGGCTGTATTTATCCTTAAACCACAAACAATGACCGAAGCTAGTCAGTGAGGGAGAATGGAAACATTTAAAAACTATACTGCACACTGACTTCAAACCTGACTTATAACTCCTTTTAAGTTTTTTATTTTTTATTTTTATTTTTTTAAGAGAGCTAGTGCCTCTCAAAGTGACCTGCTTGAGCCAGTACAGATTACCACAGTAATCCACAAAACATTTTTAATCTCTTCATAAAGCTCCTAGTGACGCCCCCTCCTCCCTAAATTCCTCCATCCCTGCATTCGGCCTTTACCCTTATTCCTTTAGAGGACCAAAAACTGTTAAATATGATGGGGGAAGAGGTGGGGCTTTTGATGGAAGATCAATTCATAATAGGTGTTATTCAAGGCAACAACAAATAACAGCATCATTGAATGGAAATGACCTGCAAAGATGATATATATGTATCAAGTGTTGGAACTTAACTTCTGTTTCTCCCTTTCCTGACCTCGCTTATCACATAACATGTTTGAAAGCGAAAGTCATCTTCAAGAGGAAGATGAAACTAAGGCAACCTTCTCTCCGGGTTATATGATCAACTATTTTATAAAAGGCATTTTGTCCTTTTGGGATTCCCAACCCTTAAAGGGTGTGTCATTTTCAGTCTGTCGCTGGACCGACTGTTGTGCTTTAGTGCCACATTATAACCAAAGCTTGAGGTAGAAAAACTGAATTTATAAAGGAAGGGGTTTCTCTTCTGATTTGACGCAACAGATGGGCTGGTACAGTTTTTATATTGTCAGAAGGAATAATCAAAGCTATACCAAAGGTTTCACCTTAACAGGGTGTGCCAGAGTCATGCTCTAATGAAAAGTGTGCAGGTTTCCTCTCTCACCATGTGGCTTGCAGCTGACACTGTGAGTGCTTCAGTGTGGAGTCCGTGCTGTCTTGTGCAGCTGGATTTGAGGACTTCCTGCTTGTCAGAGCCACTTATTTACGTCTGTGCCTCATTAGCTTGCACGGCAATTTGGAGGCCTCTCACTGACTCAGATATACATGATTTGGAAAAATGTGATGCCCTTGAGAACAGCCAGCTTGGTGTCATTGGATAAAATGAAAATATTGTCACTTTGTCCTGTCAAGGCAAGGTCATGGCATTCAAGGACAAGTGTGATGAGACTACATTGAGCTGCACCCACTGTTGGGTGTAGTTTTTCACCCACATTATACCGTTTACAGCAGTGACAGGTAGAGCCAGTATTTAAAAGCTGTGGCGAGTATCAGGTTTTAATCTTTTTAAAATGTATAGAATAGAAGGGATTGACATTGATTTGAGGAACAGAGGGAATAGTTTGAACAGCCCAAACAGGTAAAACTACTTTACCTGGTTGGCCTACTTTAGCTGTCTCTGCCTGTCTCTGTTGTCATAATAATGTCATATAATCAAGGTATTTTAAATATTATTTTCTGCCCATCAGCCACTCTTACAATACATTTCAAGTTGTCGAGCTATAATAATAAGAATATCTTTGTGAATTTATATCCTTATCCTGATACAGTGTTGCTTTTTAGCAGTCACATCTGTGGTGTTGCTGCAACAAAACAAACCTCTGAGTTTGAGCTTGGCGTCCCTAAAAGCATCTAGTTTTTCTCCACTTTTCCGTTTTGAAACCTTTTCCAAAATTTCTGACCCTGTTTTCCTTCTCCATCGGGTCTTCTTATCCTTCATCTCATTCAATCTGCTCGCTGTGTAACAATTGTAGGAGTGCAGATGATCTCCGTATCGGAGATGGGACCAAACTAAAGGCCCTATTCACACCACATGAAACACGCCAGCTGCAGTATTAAATATCCACATTGTTGTGAAGCAGTGCATGGCTGCACGGCTGTTACCATGGGGCTGTAACCTCAAAAACAACTGGGACACACAGGCTGAGCTGGACCGGGTTTTTCCTCATCATAAATTCCCACAACTGGGAGATGTTTTGGTCTTGTCATTCAGTTCTCTTTGGATAACTTTTGGTATTGCATGAGACAAACTAGATCCCCAAAACCAGCTCTCTTCCAGAAAGAGAGGAAGTCGCCTCACCTTACATTAAAACGAAAATAACAAACTGTCAGTTGCATAAATACTGCTGTGTATTGTCAGAGATAAGGAAGACAGAGAAGTCTAGGTTCCTCTTGTGGGAAGTTCTGCGCTTTCAACAACTTGACTCTTGTAGTGGTCTGCTTGTTGCCTAGCAATTGATTTTTATCTGAAGTCTAAGTATTTTTGTGCTGTTTGTGAAAGTAGAGTATTCTCCAGCTCTGGGCGCGGTTTATTAAGTTCTTTGTCACAATGTCTTTACTTCACTGAATGATTTGGCTCAGTTTTTAACACTTTGTAGTCTTCAGATAACATGTCTTGCATCTTTCAGTGTTAAGCTACCTTCTCTAAATGGTAATGTCTGTTTATCATTGATGTCAGTGTAATTGATTGGCGGTCTCTTCTGTCTTTTTTTTTTTTTTTTTCAGGAAAAGAGGAATAGAGGTTGTCCAGGTAAGTCGACAACATGTTTTTATTTATGTTGTGTCTCTTTTGCTGCAGAAAAATGAAGCTGTCACTCATTGTATATCTGATAAGATCATCAGTGACGTACCTGCTGTTTATTTGTTATGACTTCCTGCTGAAACTACATTTAACACGGTAGCTAATCGCAGAAATGTGAATATGTAACTGTGTTTGTTACCGCCTACATACCTGATGTAGATGCTTCGCGAGCTTTCTATTTTCAGTCCGTGCGCATAATCAGTCGCCGTCTTCCGGATTAGGACGTGCTCATTGTTAAGCTGTGATGCAACTCATCCAAGCACAATGTTTCAACACCTGGTCTCAACTTTGTAAATCTGTTGCACGTCACAGAAATCTAATTGGGGCACTGGCTACTCATTGAGTGAGAGTGTTTGTGTGTTTGTGTGTGTGGTTGGAACATTTAAAAGCAGTTAAGTATTAAAAGAGTGATATTTGTTTCAGATATGTTGTTGATTTTTAAGAAAAGAAAACATCAGATTGAAGTCAATTCATGAATTAATATAATTATTTTATTTAAGTTCTGTGACAATACAAATTTAAGAAAAAATCCCATTTCCTGATTTTTCTTTATAAATATAATTAATACTTTAGTGTGTAGTGACTAATAACTATATTTTCCAAGTCTCCTCCTGGGGATTAAAATAAAGTATTTCTGATATCTGAATGAAATGATGCACAACTTTTTTTTTTTTTTTTTTTTTAATAAAAAGGGACACTGATAATATCGTTTAAGACTTTATTTTTTGATACATTTTTATTTTTGACAAATCATACATCAGTTGCAGCTGGCATTGAAGCACAAAGCTTTTTATAAAGACACAGAATTTTCTCAACAGTTGGTTTTGTGTCCCCGAATATTAGTATTCATTCTTGTTTCTGAAAAGATGTGTCATTCCAACCAGCACTAACACATGAATCAACAACCCAAATCCTTAAAACCGCAGATGCATGTGCTCTGTGGGACTTCAAATCGACTTCCCAGCATTTGTTATTAATGTTTTCCACGTCTTGAGCTTCACAGCATGGTGCATTTAACATAATTGTGTTGATTCTATATGCGTACTTTATTAGTCTCGTGCAATAATTGCACACTATTTTATTGCTCACTTTACAGCTACACTCCCACGTTGGAACTAGAGTCTCTCACAATCGTCAATTGTTCTTTTGCCAATTTTCTATGCCTTCTGACTATTAAAGAGCCTAAAGCTGATAGCGCCCTCTGCTGAAAAGGAATGTTTTAATATTTTTGTAGATTTGTTTTAAATTGCACTGCGATATATCGCTACATCCTTAGTAATGTGTGTAAAGAAAAAGTAGTAATTCCTAGCTTACTTAAAGGACGACTTCTAATCGGGACATGACCTAGGAACATAAATGCTGCTGTTAATGGATATTGCACACTACATTAAGTAACTAGACACAGCACATACAGCAGCATGGTAACAATTGTCCTGGGAGCTCAGTGCTGAAAAGTGCTTGTCAGATTAAGTGCTTTCTGCAATTGAGGAGGAAATCATCCTGCATTTTCTCTTGGTCTCTCACTCTTTAAAAAAAAAAAATGCTGTCTCTTTTCTTCTTGGAGGGTTATTTTTTTTTTTTTCCTTTCGTTTGAGGTTTTTTTTCCTCTTGCACTGTGCTGACGACATTAGCACACCCAGAAAGAGCCTTGTCCTGGGAATAGTCCCAAAGTAAGCAGTGCTTTGTTTCCCACTCGCCATTCAGCCCCTCCTGGGAGACAGCAGATCCTCACAGACCCTCAGCGAGGGGGTTCTAGAGAAGAGAATTTAACAGCCTTTTGGCCTTTCTCATTTGTCTCTATAAGGACCTACCTGTTGTCCATTGAGTTTTATTTTTGCTCCAACAAATCAGCAAAAAACTCTCTCCACATTGTTTTTTTTTTTTTTTTTTTAATCTGGGATGACACTGCCAATTCAGAGAGCTCTGTTGACTCAGATACCAGCGGTGAACTGACACCGCACACTCAGCTGCCCGAGATGCACCCAATGCCAGTCTGTGCCTGTACTGTCATGGCTGCATCAGTGAAGTGAAGATAATGGTTGCCATTGTAATGCTTTGGCCTTGATATAAATGTCTGTGTACAAAACTGTCTTCTCCTATAACACTTTGGAATTCCAAGCTCATCCCAGCAGCCCTCAGGCTTCTATTTTGCAATTAATGATGCCATTTGTAAGTCCATATTACGTATTTGTAGGCTTATTTAGCTCTATTTGTCTCCTGTATGTCAGGTTTATTTATTTAGGTTCTTAAGGTCCTGTGGTTATCTTATCTTATTTTAAGCCCAGTCTTAACGGAGCCCCAGTCAAATGTACACAATTGAGGCAATGAATGAATTCAACTTTACAAAGAAGAGTAATGTATTGTAATAGACAGAAATAAGGAGAGGGACGAGAGACACATTTTACCCCTAAAGCTGGTATGGCACTGCTAAAGCTTCAAAAATGGAAATTGGGTTTCATTGAAGATGGTGTGGAGCTAGAGTTTATTTATCTTATTCATTTTTGTTTTTTAAGCCTTCATGTGGGTGGTAGTGTGGATTTAATGTCTTCTAGAAGACTGAAGCACAACATAGCTTCACATTTGACTTTTTCAGATTATTGAATCACCTAACCTTGTCCCTGTGGTGTGACAGAATTGTTGATCCAGATGATAAAGACTCAACCTTGGACGTCCAAGTAAAAATAAATCTGGCACTTTGGTAGAGTAGCATAAACCAACCTCATGATGTTAACATCATGAGCTATTGGTCAACTTCCATTGCACAACAAGCTTATTCACTTGTTGGTTTGTGTCAAAACTACAGACTTGTTGGAAATAACTCTATGTACTATGTACAAAAGTTTGTTTATCAGCCATCCTCTTGATATTTGTTCAATAGTCCAAGAAAATGGGAATTGTTCCCTGATTTTGGCTTTTAAAATGTGAGAATTTGCTTCTTTGTTGTACATTATGTTAGCCTGAATATTTGTTGTTGGGTTTGGATTCTTTGCAGAAGATAATCTGAAGTCACGTTTGTTTTTTAGGATATTTGTCTTGCGTTCTTAACAACTGTGAGTTTTTCTGACCTAATGTTGTAGCTGTACTCTATATATATATATATATATATATATCACTGCGCACTTCCATCTATAGATGTATATTTACCACAAGAGTTTGATCCGCCAGACGGCTGGCAGTCTTTACTATGTCTCCCTGTGTGAACAGAGTTTAGCTAAATCTGGGAGCCCCAGGGACTTAATTTTATATTTCCATTTTTGGTGTGGGAAACCCCTCAACATGTATGCCCATCAGGACTAACACGAACATAACTGGAAAAAGAAAACACTGTTTGTTTGTTTGTTTTCGCCTTAGAGTCAAAAATATCTTTGCCTTTGCTTTTGCTCTTTTGTAGTAACCCATTATTAAGATCACTTTGTTTTTATTGAAGATTCAAATTCACCCTCCCACCCCCTAACCCACACCCCGTTCTCCATATGACTTTTCACCAGCTCATCAATACTGACCCTTTAGCCCTGAGCTCATCCTGTCACAGCCCCGTACATTAGCCTGTCTGTGTAATAGAGCTGATGAGATTAACTCGACGGGCTCTGCCTTGAGAGAGCCAATATTCACTCTCAGAGAAAGAACCCATCACAGTGACTGGTCTATGCATGAGTGGGCTGTCCAGTGAAAATTATTGAGATACTGTTTTTATTATATGCTGGAAAATTGAAAGTTAGTATGCGGCATGTCACTAGATCTTGCCTACTTATTGGATCTAGGGAGGTGGGCAAACAGGATATTGTCTTAAGAGGGTATTTATTAGACCTCTGGTTCACCATGAGGAAAAGAAAGCTGAATTTGTAATTAGCATAAAGTGACATTGGAATAGTTTGGCCTTTGATACAGCCCAAAATGTAGAATGGGTGGGTATGTAGGTCAGTGCAGTGATCAGATACAATCAATCAGTTTCAGGTAAATTATCATTTGATGATGATAATTAACATCAACCCTAGTCCCTAGTCAAAGCTAGCAAATAACTGCAATGAGTGTTTGCAGTCTGTGTCAGAATAAGAATTAAAAAGGGGAAAAAAAATAATAGTATCTGTGCATCTCTAAATGACATTAGCTTTGCTGTTGGCATGCACGTCATTACAACCAAGCACAGTTGTGTTGTGAATAAAACGTCTTTGTCATTTTTACACTTCTATTCATTTCACAAATGTAAGCTAGCTGTAAAGAAGTGTGGAGGCTGTTGATGTTTTAGGAGGTCAGGGTGGAGATGATGAGTAAAGAGATATTCATCAGTTTCACTGAGATGAACTTGCAGTGTCGTCTTTATCTCATTATATATTTATACACTTCGGACCTATTAAATATGGCTCATGATACTTAAAGGGAATATTTCCCCATAGAAATGATTTAATCTACCTTTCAAGTCATTTTAGCCTCAAGTGTATTAAAGGTTAAAGTAAATGTATTTAGTATTCAACTAACAAAGCAAAATGGGAGTTGCTTTATTACCTTCCAGTGCACAATGGAATCAGCATTGAAGACTCCAGGGAGATTGAGGAGTAGACCATTAGCCTAATGAGCTTCCAGTTTGAGACTCCATATGTTGTTTCTTTTTTTTTTCTAGAGACTCATTTTCATGTTGATCTCTCCTCATGTTGAGTCTTGTCCTTCATGTAAGGTGTGGCCATAGTTTGTGTCAGACACATGTTTCTCTTACACTAGGTTGTCAAATGCTACACAGCATATGATATCAATCATTCATCACTTGGCTGTCTGCACTGAGCCTCTCTCCGGGCATGTCTGGCAACACAGCAAAAGCTCAGTAAGTTGAGGTCCAGTGGAGAGAAGCCTCACCATACACAGAGACGTATAACTATAAAAGTATGAAATAAACAATAGGTCTTCAAGTCTGTGTTCACCATTCTTGAATTTAAATATGTTGTGAAGTACAAATAGGAGTTGGTCCCTGCCGTTTGCTCAAAAATCTGTTTTTAGATTCCCCTGAGTAAAGCTGGGGCCCACTGTGGCGCTACATCAAAGCTGGAAATATATTGGCCCTAATCAGCCTCTCCCTCCAGGTTCCTTCATGTTTTGTATGCTGTCCATCATCACCATGGCTCGCTGCTAGTGCTCGGCCCCACAGGGACTCACAAAGACGTCAGTTGACATTTTTGCTTTTAGCGTTTTGCAGGACATCAGTGACTTTACTGCTGGGGTTTTTTTTGGAACGGCTCTAAAGCAGGGTCATGTCGACGCAAAGGGAGATGACAGTTTCATCCTCTGCGTTGCGTCTTCGCTGGTGGGTGTTGACCCCCACGATGAACACAGTTCTGTTTTTTTTTTTTTTTTTTTTTTTTTTTTTTTTTTTGTGGAGGGGCAAGGCTGTGGTCGGGTACTCCGTGTTATTGTGTAAGCAAGAGATTAACGACAAGTTCTCTTCCTCTCGACCCTGTCAAACTGACATTTGCTAAACAGAAAACAAGAGCGACCGTCTTGGCTTCCTCTGACCTTCATTTTCATCACGCCACTATTGCTCGCAGAAGCAAGTGTCATAGACCCAGTTATAGTTAATCCACAGGTGACAACGCATTTTGTGAGTGTTGACTTGCAACATTGTGTAATTGAGGTCAGAGCAGCATGTTTATGTGACTATATATACTCATATTTCTATCACATGATTCCTGATGGACCAGCCGTAATGACTGACTCATCAGAAGTCATTCACTTTGTTTTTAGACCCGGCCTTCCTTTTCTAGATTATGTAATCAAACTGGCTGTATCTGACTGAATATTTGTTCACTATATCGTTACAAATAACCTTCTGAAAGAAGTCATTGTGATAAGGATATGGAAATATTGGATGTAACAGGATTGTCTTATGAGTGTGGTAAAAGATTTTGAGATGGGAGGAATTTGCCTTAACCAGACTATTTTGCATTTACAAAATTTTTATTAGTTTTCCTGATAATGTCTTGTATCTAAATATACATTGATATCATAAAGATGTAACCTGGCATTTAATTTGAAAGAGGTTTTTTTTATTTTAGCCACACTCAAAGCTAACTTTCAGTGAGCCACACTAACCCTCATCCAGTTAGCTTTGAATCTGCATCACAGCATATGGTTTATACATTTTTGCATCAGGAGTTTGAGTTTCTTTTGACTGAAGGGCGTGTTTCTACAGGCTGGAGGAATGGAGCGTGAAGGAGATAGAGATCTAACAGCATTTCTTTCTCTGCCCATCATGTCGCATAATGAGTTCTTTGGGGAATACAGCACTACTGGGTGTGTTGGTATTTCTTTGCATGTTGGCACATTGCTCAGACTGTATGCGTGGAAAAGCTCATATTCCACACCAGAAGATAACAACACATACTTGTGCTACGGGAAGGTCTTACCTTTTGACATTTTTTTTTCTTTGTCATGTGTAAAGAACATAAATCATCTGATATTTTTCAGATTACACTCTGTGCAGTTATTGACTTTACATGGCAAACCCAAGGTTACACTAATTAGTCACCTACCCATCATCACACCTGTCACACCTCTCACACAATCATTAACAATGTAATCTTACCTCTGACTGTGGCCAACCCTGAACTAACTGAAATATCTGACAGTTTTACAGTTCCTGCATTGATCCACACCTGTGTGGTGTGTTCTGTCCCAGTGTGCGTGCTGTCTGATCGACACAAAGGATAGTCGGCTCCTGCATAGTTCTGGCTTATTTGCACAGGTGTTGCTGAATGTCTTTTGTCTGTAATGATCAGGTGATTCCCATTAGCTTACAAATGAAATGTTGTGAAACAGCCTTCTCAGTAAAGTGGTGTTGGGTTGATTTTGGTTTCAGCTGTACCGTCTCTCAGAGTCTTATATTTGCATCATACACATTTAAGAGTCATGTGCTGTTAAATTATCTTTCATAGTGTCTAACACAACCACTCTTGTATTACTTTTTTTTTTTTTTTTTTTTTTTTTTTAATCATAGCCTAAGGTCAAGCTAAGAAGTTCTGGTGGTACGTTTATCTGAAAATATGCTTTGACTCCTCTGGTGTCTCTCTGTAATTATTATGCCTAGCCACACACTGAAGGCTGCTTTATCTCTGTCTCTGACTGTCTGTTCTCCTTTTACACAACCTTGCCTCACAACTTCACATAATGAAGGCCCTTCATTATGAAGCAACAAGAACAGTAAACAAACACATCTAACTCGTCTCTCTTTTTTGTCAGAGTAGAGGTTATTTGTGTCATTAGATACACGCATACTAAGAATTTGTTTTGTTAACCTAATTTATCCCCAAAAAATGGCTAAATGAATCGTTTCAACATAATTCAAATCATCTTAACCATCACACTGGGGTGCTTGACAATGAGCTTAGTATTAGAGGGTGGGTTCATTTAGTCAACTTTATAGATTCCCCCAGGTTAGCGATGTCTTGGACCAGAGCAGCTGATTCTGTGCCTTCAGTGATGATTTCCCTCTGTGCCAAACATTAATCATCCGAATCGAGCAATATTCCACACTGGAGCACCTGATAGATTGGGTGGAAAGTTTGGCTGCTTATAACAATGTGGCTATCACATCAACCACTTCTCTTTTTTTTTTAAGATTTATTTTTGGGCTTTTATTGCCTTTTTTATTATAGAGATAGGACAGTGGATAGGGTTTGCATTCAGAGATCAGGGAATGACATGCTGGAAAGGAGCCACGGGTCGGGTTGGAACCCCTACTTGGAGGACTATAGCGTCTGTGAAAGGGGGATTTGCGCACTAACCACTTGGCTTCCGGCCACCACGCATTAACCACTTCTAAATTAAATTAATTAGCCAAACCAGAGCGGATCACTCGGGTTTGGTGTTGTCACACAAACCAAGACAGAATCATGTATTTAATATCCTGTTATCAAACAGGTTGAACACAGCTCTGGATGGAGGACTGGCATATAAGAGTTAGTTTTCTAGCTGGATGTGTGTCTTAGTTTGAATAAAATCAACTTATTGTTGAAGTATAAAGAGAGTTCAGTAAATGATTTTTAATGCTACTGTTTAAGTTTAGCCATACACATTTCTATATTTATGATTCTAATTCAGTTACTAGTGACATTTCTGTTCATAACCTTTTGTGAATTGGGCTAGATTAGAATCTCTCTCATGTGTGTTTTTGTGTGGGCAAGCCCTGACCCACATAAGTGTTATCAAACCTGGAGACGTGCTTAGGATACTTGCTATGATCTACTTGGCTCTTGCACTCAGCGTTTTCGGCTGCTGTAAACTTCAAACAAATGCTACTGTGGTGTTTTCTCAGAGGCCGTCGAATAAGTTAAGCGAGACTAGACGTTCGGCCAGAAGGAGATAGTTTGTAGCTCATAGTAAAAGAGGTGACATCAGAATTGTAACCTTATGGTGTAATTCAAAACAAATAAACACACTCACTGCCCCAATTTTACCACTATAAATACATGATGATTAAGAGAAAGATTTTGTGCTCATTTTTAACGGATTGAAGAGTGATGAGACACTCTGGGCTGTTTTGAAAAAAAATAAAATTATCACATTTGGTGACTGATTTCTGAAGTCAATCATTTCTAAGTCTGATAAATAAATACCTGAGATAACCTGTCTGCAACATAACCTTTGACCCAAGTCTGTTCTCTTCTCCTCAGCTGGACCTCAGCCAGCCTCTGGAGGAGCAGGGACCCCTGGACGTCATCATCCACAAACTGACCGACCTCATCCTGGAGGCGGACCAGAATGATTCCCAAGCTGTGCTGCTGGTGCAAAGAGTACAGGTACGCTCCTTCCTCTTTGTCTGCCCTCCGGTATTGTTACGCAGAAAAGTAGAGCAAGTGCAAATGATCATTTTGAATTTTTGAAACACAATCCCCTAAACATTTTTAAGGTTACACGATTGATGTATACATTGGTATGTTTGAGAAATATCTTTCCTCAGTTGATTAACATTTATGACAGTGTTTAAGTACTAAAGTTTGTCTTGACCTTCATTCACAAATATGTTAAAAACATTATTTTTTTAATGATACAGTTTACTGTTTGGTTTTCCTCCTACAAGGCAGCTCCTGATGTTATAATAGCTTTTGCATATTTCAAACTGTTATTTAGGCCAATGTCATCTATGTGTTCAGACAGAATTGTTCAAATGATTTAATTACCCTGATGTCACGCATCTCATAAAATGAACCAATGATCAAACGGCCCAGCCGCCATCAGCACAGATGATATGAAACAGTTGCTAAGCTCTTCTGATCTAGTTTTGTAAGGGGGAAAAAAGGGAGAGAAGCTTGATTGTGTTGTCTGCAGCTCAACACAAACATTTACTGATGGCATGGTTTTCTGTTTTAATAAGGGAAATCCATCAGACGGGACTAAGGACTTTTTAAAAGTAGGTGAAAAAACATGAAAGACGTACACAGCTTTGTTTGAGCAAAGCAGTGACTTATTAACCCCAAATGCTGTCACAGAAAAAAAACATTCAAGAGTTTTTCTTGATCATAATCAATCAGTCTTTATTTGTATAGCTTGATTAATCAAGCAAAGCAATTGGCAACAATTAAGAAAGTTAGAGTGGCCTGCACAGTGGCAGAACCAGACACATGATGAAAAGCTGTCTGCTGATACTGTGCTGGGTTTGGAAAGTGAGATAGAAGGATGGAGACAAACAGAGCAACAACAATGAATAGGATAGATCTATAACTACAATGTCGGTAATAATGATACAATATGACGTGATACACTTTGTTATCCCCATGGGGAAATTTGTCTTGGACTCAAAGTGCTGCCAAGCATTCAGCTGCTTCCACTAGAATCAATAAGAAAACAAATAGAAAAGTCATCCACATGTTCACAGAAAGTCACATGCATACATGATGGTCAAAGTATGTGTAGTAGCAGCTTATGAGTCTGTTAGCAACCGTAATGACAGTGAACAGGGAGGAATGATTATGTTAACTAAAGAGGTTGAAGTTAAACAGCTCTAAGATTTACTTTAATATAAATCAAAATGATAATAGATGTAAGGCTGATAGTATTAGATGTAGTAGTTGGCCATCTGCACCAACGATCCAGAGGAACCTACTGTATGAGACGATAGCGCTCAGGGGCTCCCAGGACGGTATGGTCAGGACTTAAATGGTACATGAGGTTTACAGATAATCATCTCACATGAACAGCAGGTTTTAGCTGCTGTGTCACTGTGAACACGCTTCAATTTTTTTTTTTCAATTTTGTTGTTCTGGCAGGCCGTCAACCAAAGCTTCAAAGCTTTCTTCTCTTTCTGAATGACTTAGAGGAGCTGCACTCATGATCAACCTCGTACGTTTCTGTCGACATGTTCCCGACCGCTCGATCAGGAAGTCCATATGAAGTAACCTCCAGTTACGTTTTTAAAGAACGGCCTTGTTTTTTTTGTTTTTTTCAAACATTTCTTCTTTTTTCTTTTACATTTAAAAGACAAAACATTCATTACATTATTAAAATCATCAAGATAATTCATCATGATTATTATAATGCTGTCCTCCAAGTCTGCTGTGTACCTAACTACCTGAAGTCCCCAAACCAGCTGTGCAGGCTTCACTGAGTCGGGTGGAACAACGCACTCCGTAGAAAACAGTCATTCTCTTACAGCGTCGACTGTAGACTGAGGTTGGGCCAAGTTTTAGCTGCTCGATCAACAGCTCAGCTTTGTGGCTCAGACATGTTTGTACTTCTTGAGTTCTGGCTATTTACCTGAACACCACTGTCATCTGTGATTACATTTTTGCCTAGATTTAGTCACTGGCTTATTTCTATTATAACACAGCTGTGATCATAAATACTCCTTTGTTGTGGTGAAGGGGAAAAGTCTTCCTCTATAAATACCTCCCTCTTTAAAACAAAACGTCAGGCTGGGATGCTCCTTGGTGATTCAGTGGAGAGAGTCGTGTGCACAGACCTCTGACAAATATCATCAGCATAAACATGGGTACATTGGTTACCATGATATTGTTTATTATTGGTATTCGGGGACTAAATTAGTCGGCAGGTGTTTTTATCTTTCATTATCTCTTTTTTGATTACTTTTCATGGACTTCATGCTGTAGATTAAATTCCTAGTCTAGTGGTCTCCTTTTTTTTGATTAACGGCTAATCATCCTCCTGATGTGATGAAGCAAACCTGTGTCTTAGAAATGCTAAAAATCCTGCTCAACTTCAGGTTTCATGTTTGTGTCATTACAGAGAAGACCAATAACTTAGACCTGATCCTCTGCTTAAGATCCTCTGGTTCTCTTTATAGAATCAGATCTGTCTGGACATATGTACATGCTGGAAAAGTGCAGCCCTTACTCCCCCCCCTTCTTTAATACCTACACGTGCATGTGTCTCTTATGCTCTATCATGACTGGACATCGCTGATCTCCATTTATTCTCCATCTGTCTGCGTTTAAGTGCATTTATTTTTCTGAGATTTATAAGTTGGCAATGACAGCTTTTATCAGTTAAGTATTCCTTAAAAATCCTGGATGATTTGTTTGGATTAATATTTTTTGGCGGCAGCATGCTTTGACTTGCATAACCGCCTGACTGGCTTTGATCAGGGTTCCATGTTACATCCCAATAAATCCTACACAATGGCCCTCCGTGTCGAGGCGAAAGCATAGTTTACATGCTGCGTGCGTCAGCATGTGCGTGTATAATAATAGACAGACAGGCAGTAATCGGGCCTTTTTATTTCCAGGCAGCATGTTTGTGCTTGATGTCTAACTCTGCAGCGTGTGTTTAATATCATGCAAACATGTGTGACAGTGGCGCTGTGGTGTGTGCAGGCAGGCTGTTTGTTTTACGTGCGGGCCGAGCCAGCTCCACCTGAGAAATGGCTCTGAAGGAATGGTTGGCAGAGAAATCGGCAGAGCAGAGATGGGAATGTGGAAAGCACAGAGAGTGGCAGAGTGGAGGGGAGGTGTTGTGGGGACATCAGGAGTGGAGAGGAGTTATGTAAAACAGCAAACCTCACGCTGACCGAACAGCCGATCATGCAGAGATGGAGTGATGTAACCTACACAGTACACAGACCCGCTGGCATACATCTCATGCTCTCTCTAGCACACAGACACAGATCAACACAAGCGCACACTTATATTTAGAGTGAGGCCTGTTGACCCTTTAACTTACTGTGTGTATTTTTAGTTTACTTCTGCTATAGGTTTGTTTCACATTTCTAATCTGCATGGATGCATTAGTGTTATGGCAAAGTGTTGATTAAATGATTTTGGTGTGAAAATTAACATTAATGCCATCCAACGCCCACAAAAATGTCCAACCTAGAGTTCAATAGTTGATGGAAAATAATCTGCTTTTTGATGTTGAGCAGTTTCCATGATGACTTAAACAATAAAATGAACAGTCCTGTTCAAACCGTGTTTTTAGCATCTGTTTTTATTTACATTCTTATTCATTGAATATGGGGAGATGCTGCTGCATGCACCTTTTTGTAATTGGGGCAGTAATTAAAACATGGACAGATGTCTCAGGAAGGCCTGGAGGAAATGTCTTCAAACATGGCACAAATGTCCCCTTTACTCAAAGAATAGTACATTCGACTTTGGTGATTCAAGATCAGGGTCACAATGAGCCCACTTCGCTCCCAGTCTCATGAGTCTGATATCTTGGAAAAGTCTAGTGGTCATTTTATTACTTTTTTCCCATCAGTGGAAAAAAGAAAATCTCCTTTGAATACTTATCCTTCTGGCGATGGAGGGTGAGGGTCTTCTGAAAAATCAAATGCTCTGCAGAGAAACAGAGAGAGAGCGAGAGAGAGACTGGTATAAATGATTGTGATTCACCCTTTATTCCTAAATGTAGGCCTGATTATGCTCATGGATGTATTGAAGGTAATCTGTTCTGATGCATATATTCAATGTGTGTAAATATATCTTCTGTTCCCTCCTCCCTGGCCACAGATGGGTGGACATATTCACTTGAGTGTTAAACAGGAACATACATCCAAACACAATGATATTAAAAATGTCCCTCTGTGTTTCAGGACTACATCGACGCTCACCCTGAGACCATTGTCCTGGACCCCCTTCCAGCTATCCGGACTCTGCTGGACCGCTGCAAGTCCTACCAGCTCATCCACAGGATAGAAAGCTGTATGCAAGGTAAAATGTTTTGATGTGTGCCAGGTCACACTAGCATCTAAAGGAGAGAAGGAAAGGAGATGTTGCTAAAAAGGAAAAGAAAAGTGTTGCATTTGATAAAACTGGCATGTCTTCAGCCAATTTTATAGACTACTGCTCCCATTCAGTTGGTAATCTATGGTGCAGTGAGCCACTAAATCACCAAATGCTTCCCACCAATTATATAAGAGGACAAGCAAATTTCACTCAGTTGCAGCTTTGGGATAAAGGACATCTATTTGATACAGTCTCAAACAACAGGCCAGCAAAAAAATAGTACCTTCATGGATTACAATAAAATGTTGTTATCACTCAGCAGCTTTATTGATGTTGGATTTCTTCTAAAGCAGAGATGTTTGTTCACCTAATTACATATGTTTTAGTTTAAAAAAAAAAAAAAAAAAAAAGAAACAGATCAAATAGTAGTACAAATTAGTACGATGTATTACAATTCATCAGTGCTGCAGCCTCCAAAGTGTCCAAAAAGTTTAGTCAATTTAAATTATGGCACGTTTTAAGTTTGATATAGGTGAAGTTTACTGCTGGACTCTTGTTTTTTGCTGCTTTTCTTTTTAGTTGTACCTGTACCCGTGTTTTGTTGTCATCTTTATGGCCCTATGACCAGGCTTTCATTCAGTGGATAGAGTCAGTACACAGCGTGTCATGGGTTCAAATTAAGTTATCGGTTCCTCTCTTTTTTTCCCCTCAATATTACATAAAGCAGAAGTTGTCTTAAATGATAAAGGAACTGTTATTTCTTGGACGCTGCCTTCTGCAGATTCTGTCTTTCCTCTTCACCTCCAGAGGGGACGAACACATAACATATGACAGCGCTGTCGTTTCTCACTTGAGTTATTTTACACCGTGCTTCCGAGCAGATGTTAAAATCTTGTCGGTTGAGCTCTATGCTGATATCATCATTTCTCTCCTCTCTCTTTATGCAACAGAATATCCATTTCCTTCTCTGTCTGAACAATATATCTACTCAGCTCTTCATTTTTCCTCGCTGAAAGATCAGGAACTTGCCTTCGAGTCTGTCCAGGAACACCTTCCTGTGTGGCTGATCCCATAAACTAATCAGCAGACGCTGTCTTTTGACTCGAGGCAGAGAAGAAACGCAATGATGGCAGGCAGGAACACATTCTCTACCCACACACACAGTAAACACACCTGTGACTCATCCGCGTTTCCACATTTCCTTTACCCCCGTACATGGCAAGGAACATAAACCTTTTAGGTATTACTTCAGAGTGACTCTACGAGGAGCTGCAGTCTGGTGTCAGAGCAGTGGATCAGAGGCGTTTCAGCATGTCGCCAGTGTCGTTAGTTTCCTGAAATAGAACCGCAAGAAGACGTCTTTTTATCCAAACAGACATGATGACTGTTGCGTAACCAAGTATAAGCTGCATCACTTACTGTCTTACTGTGTATTCGGTTTGGGGGGGGGGTTTGGCTCACTGGCTGCATTTAAAGGACGCTTTTTTTCCTTTCTCCACTCCATTAATGCAAGTGGGGCTCTTTGTGCACACGTAAGCCTGCATACCAAACCTCACTGACACTTGTGGTTGGTTGAGACACAAGAATGGAGTGTAAGACATTATAATCCTACACCACACTACTGTGATTGTAGAGGGGGAAAAAAAAGCATGTGACAAAGGATAAGTGCACTTATCGACTAAGAGAACTGGGTTAAGGTCGCAGTAAAACTAGACGGTAGTTGGAGAGTGTGGAAAAAGGCTACCTTGCTTTCTTAGGCACTGCTACTTCCTTCTCCTTATCAGCTGAGACCAAGGAGTCCTGGAGCAGCTGCCAAGGCAACCCAGTGCCTCTCTACTAAGAGGCCGTGGAGAGGCTGCCATGCTCCACAGTCTGCGTGACTCTGAATAGAAGTCAATGGGAGGAAGCACTTGAGATGCGCTTGTGCTTTTTCTGGGGGGGAAAAAAAAAAAAGGCAAATTTTATTTTATCACTCGAGTGGTGTCTTAATGGTAAATGTCCCCTCGTGTCAGAACATTGAGCTTCTCTGTTGGGAATTTGTTTAAATGGATTTTAACTTAAGTACAAGTAACAGCCTGTTCCAATGTTATGTTGGAGATGATTTAATGTTAAACTCTTTGGAATTTTGTCCCCACTCTGTTGTCTGACTTGTTTCCTTTGTGAGCTAGAGCAAAGGTAACTGTTTATGTTACTCAGCTGAATCTCCTTGTTCCTGTGTATGCTTCATTTTGATATGTTGGACTGTTTTTATAGACAGAAACCGTCGTCAAGTCGGCTCTCCTATTAAAATGAAAGCCCCTCTCGATGGTAAAAGCTTATTCCTCCCCAGCTCAGGATAACATTTCAGAATAAAGTGGGATCAAACTGAAACCTTCCTGGTTTATTCTGTTATTACGAAGACTGCTCCACAATTCTGCAAGATTCACTAAACCAGTGTCCCATTTATGCATGTCATCAAAATGTAATCATAGTCTAAGCATGAAAAAAAACCTTGAGACCCTTTTGGACCCAAACACTCATCCAAGTCCGTGTAGCCAAGTAAGCAGACATGATCACCCATCTTAAAGAGTCCCCTGTCTGTCATGTATGAAAGTTCTATGAAACAGCCATTAAATGATAAATAACTTATCCAGTCAGTATAGGACTCACCTCTTGTAAGGAAACAAAAACCTTTTTTAAAATAAGACTAGTAATTTGAGCACAAGAGTTCATTATTTAAAATAGTTTAAGTGGAGAGAGAGGTCAATTTAAATGATCAAAAATCCTGCTGCTCCCTCTCCTGAGAAGGGGACCGTGTTGTGAGCAGTTGAGGGAGAGGATGTTGGGGTTTCTAGGAAACAAGCTCTAAATAGCAACATGCGAGTTCAGCCTTCCACCTCAACAGAAGCGCTCTTCATGACGCTTAATGTAAGCAGGGGTCTCTGCTGTTTTCTTTATCTAATGTCTCAATAACATGGCAGGGGGGGACGGTCTGAATTGACTGCTTTATTACAGGCCTGTTGAGGAATTATATGTTGTCTGTTCGTTTGTAGATTTTTGCGTGCATAGATATGATGTAACAGAGAAGACAAATAAGGAAATGCAGCAAGTGTACGTTAAGATGAGACAAGAGGATGAACCAACAAACCCTGCGGAACTGGATAATGACTTTTTAAAGCAACTTATCGCAGAGTCCTGTAACCGTCGTCCAGGGCTCCGCTGGGTCTGCTGCAAGCACGCAGTGTTTAGACAGAGCCAAAGATTGATCCTCCCCACCCGTCCCTCCACCCCATTATCCCTAAAATGTCCACCAGAGCCAAGCATGCACACTATTACAAACTTGGCCACTCTCTCTTACCCACCATTCCCTACTCTCTATTATAAATCCTTATCTTGGAGCTTGACATGTTTTCTGCTGAACAAGGTTTAGTTCTGTTGATAGATTTTCTTTTTTTTTTTTTTTTTTTTTTTTTGGGGATAAAATTTAGCGCCATCAGTCTTTGGGAACATGGTGATGTAATAGGGACATTTTCCCTTCAGCACTGTTTTCTGAAAGACATTATGTTGCTATTCCTGTCCTGGTAAAATAACAGCAGTATGACGAGCGTGTAGTTGCAGCCAGTGCAGAGATGACTGATGGGTAACCCTGCTGGCTTCCCGCTCCCTAAAGTGACTGGTTGCAGAGCCAACACTGGACCAGACCCAGCTGTGCAGGGAAAGGTTACAGGACTCAGAACAAGTATCTGCCTGTGAGAGAGAATAGGGCTATGCTGTGGTCGTCTGTCATGTAACGGCAGAGAGACTATAGCCTACGTACATAGGGCGCCATCTGCACCCCCAACATTTGAGGTCTGGACATACTTTTTTAATTGAAAATAAACTTGTTTATTTAGTAAACTGCATTTTGTACATCATGGTTAAAGCACATGTTCAGAGAACGCAGTGGAGAACCTGTTTAGCTAGTGGGCATGTCAGCAGTGTTATTCCAGGTGATTTGTTTAGGTTATATTGACCTAGCTCTGGTGATTATTGTCAGATTTTATAACACTGTATTTTCCATCTGTATTAGTTATTAGAGTTATTGATACACGATACCATTGCTGCAACAAATTCAGACAATTCGACATGTGAACAAACCACAGTTGAGCCAGATAATCTGAACTGAAGAACAGGTTGTACCTGAAATGTCAGTAATGAGTCCTAATTTAATAAACACTATTCTTGCATCAGAATAGCAAATGGGAGAGGTCAGAGGTAAAACCTGGATATGGGCGGTTAAACTCTGATCATGTTTATAACATATAGTTTGATGATATTCTTAAAATAAGACAGAGGTGCTCTTTGTACACAACAAATAAATACCTCTACCTTTTTTTTAAATGATCTGTACAGCTATATTTCAAAACTGTTAAGCTGACAAGTGACTTTTACAACAAAACTATTGTCAAAATTTGGATAACAAACTACAACTACATGTTTCTGCTCTTGTGCATTATTAGACAGTTCTGAAAGATAGACGAAACTATAACAATTATCTGGAAATATTAAAAATGTATGTTTCCATTCACCTGACCATTATGCAGCCGTATGACACAGGAACTCATGATCTTTAAACAGGACTGCTGTATTTGCAGCCTTATCTCCTCAGTCACCAGCAGGTGTGGCTGATTTTTAACTTGGACCAGTAATTCAACTTAAGGTCACTTAAGAACTTTGTGTTTTAAGTTTTCGGCTTTTAAAGTCTCTTTTCTCTTCGTGCATCAGCTTTCATTGTGGCGTTGTGATGTGTGTCTCTGCACTTTGTGGCTGCTGTGCTGGCTGTAGATGAGTGTGGGGCCCCGATATACAGCCCGAGTTCAACACTCAGCACTAGAGTAAATGTAGGCAAATGAGATTCCCCTGACCTCAGCAATAGCTAGTGCTGAGAGCACTGCCGCGGCTCCGGCCTGCAGCACACAAAGGCCGGCATGTTCCTATTGTGTTTTTGTCATTAGCAATTTGCCAGCTCTTGGTTTGGGCCTCTCGCTGATTTCCTGTGGCGATATCTCCATCCAGCTGCCTTATCGGCCAAACATACCTACTGGAGAGGGGAAATTACAGGAGGCAGAACGTTAATATAGATGCTTTCTGAGCCCTGATATGGAGAAGTACGATGGAGCTGCAGGATGTTTGTTATTTTCTGTCTTATCAGAACTCACCAACCTGTTGCTACAGGATGTGTGGTTAACAAACATGATGTGATGTAAAAACAGGGTGGGTGTGGGTGAGAAACAGGCTGGATCTTTACATTATATATAAGGTCAGCACAGGTTTTATTGTTTAATTGCACCTGTATTGTGTGCTGGTGACCGACTTCAATCTGTCAGTCAGGTGATGTATCTGATGACTCTGTAAGGTCCTCAGTGTATTTCCACTCTTCTCTAGTTCCTCACAAGATTGTGGGTCTTCCTGTATTTCAGAATTTTCCTGTGTGTGAGGAGGAGCAGAAGGGCCTGGCAGCTTTCAGCTTTATTTATTTGGACAGGAGTCATTTGTTCCCCCCAGCCTCAGAAGACCTCTGTTGTGTTTTTTAAATATTTGTAACAGATTTAGAGGACAAACACATGTATAAAAACAGTAAAAAAATAAGGTGTGTGTTTATGCATTTATGACGCACTCATCTACTCCTCGTGTCGAACAAGTCTTTAGTATCTTTGCTCAAACTCCAACAGGCTGTGCTGTCCTTCATTTTCTCCCTCAGTGGGCTATGGATGATAACAGTAGCATCGCTGCGAGTGCTGCTATTTCTGGAGGGGGAAAAAAAAAAAGTCTCCATAATGCTTCAGCTATTGCGGGCAGTTGACAGTGTGCAGGATCATTAATCACACAGGAACATAAAGCTGTTCACCAGGAAGCAGAGGCTGAAATATGAACCTGTCTGTGATGTTACAGGATTGAATGTTTTCAAAACGTAGACGATAACTACAAAGAACTGATTCATATACATGGGGTTCAATTTCTTATAGTTTAGCAAATTGTCACTCTTTTTTTTTTTTGTGTAATTTAGAAATGACATTTTTTGGCTTTTAGTAAGTTGGTCAATTAAAATAAAAAAATAGATCGACCATGTCTCATGTTTTTAGGAAAGATTTTGAATCTATGTACAAGAAAGTAAATTTGAAAATGATCTAAATTTTTTTTATAATTAAGATAATCATTTGTTTTGAAATAGTCTCCACTTTTATTTTTTTTTGGAATCCTTTCTCTAAAGGCCTTCCCTTAATTCCATCCATGTCTTCCTCCTTTGATCAGATGAGAGGATTTGCTCTCCTCCCTTCATGGTCCTGAACACAGACTGCAGCCCTGATGTGCTGGAGCAGATCAGGAGGCAAGGACTCACATTCCCCTTCAGTAAGTTTTTTTTTTTTTTTTTTTTTTTTTTAATTCAGATACAGAGAATTTACCTTTTACTTTGTAATGCATTAGTTTGACCAAATACTGTAATGTTTAACACCATTTGTTCTTTTAAAAAAGTGTTGTGTATATTCACATTTCTGTGTTCACTGTCAGAGTCAGACAGAGCCTTTGGGTAAAATGTCTGCTTGTTGGTATTGTTCAAAGTTCTCCTGACCTTGCTAAGTTCTCCCCACCTTTTATTTCTTCCTCAGTTTGCAAAACACGAGTGGCTCATGGAACCAACTCCCACGAGGTGAGAGGTCACTCACACCCTCCACAGTTTGTTTTGTGCAAACATTAACACTTGTACCGCCCCAAGATAGTCATTAATCTCAAGTCCAACTACATTTCTTTTTAAAATCCAATAAAGTGCAGTACCTTTGTGTGTCAGCAGAAATCAATACCACTTGTCAGCCTGGCCAAATATTCCTCATTCCTCCACACTCACTGCTTTGAATAACTTCCTTGGACTTGGTCTGACAGTGCGTTCTTTTTTAAAAGTTTAAAAAGTCAGTCTTTTCCTGTGTAAATCTGTCCACAGATGGCCATTATCTTCAGCGAAGAGGACCTGAAGGACGTAAAGCCTCCCTGTGTGATCCAGAGCTTCATCAACCACAACGCAGTACTCTACAAGGTGTTTGTGGTGGGAGACTCGTACACCGTGGTGGAAAGACCCTCACTGAAGAACTTCCCTGCTGGACCTGCTGGTGAGGAATTGGATGGGCAGACACAAGCCAGACTGTACGAGTTGCAAGGCTTTTCTAAATTCCTCCATAAAGTGCTCATAAAAAAGGCTTTATAGTCTCTGCGATTGGACCTTTTAAGGGATGCAGTATAGTAGGTACAGGCTGGAAAATAAAGAAGAGGATTGGCATCCCTCTCCATAAAATTGTCAAAAACATTACCCATAGTGCAACTTTGAATGCAGGGTTGTCCCCTTACGCAAACGACTGCAGTATTTGCATGAGGTACAGTTTAGGGCCATCATGCAAACTGACGTCAAACTATTGGTGTAGCTGTCTGCTTTGTGTAACACGGCATTCCAGGATGAAAGCAACCATTCTCTCTGCAGAGTGCTGCAGCTGCATAGCATTCAGATCAGTGTACTCAGGAGGTATGCATTGTGTAATCAATAAGTGGGGATGCACAGTAGGGTGAAAGATTGAGTTGTGAGGACTAAGAGAGGTAGGGTTCATGTTTGTGCAGAACTTCAAAGATGAGTGTAAGAGAATGTGTTTCCCATCCAGCCTTCCTTCCCAGCTGATGCAGAGTTTAGACTGCTCATCCAGTCTGGGAATGAACGAGGACATCTGCCCAACACTTCACTTTTAACAACCCTCTGCAACCCTCTGGGGAATATCTTTTGGACTGTGTTGGAAATCTTTTTCCCTCCACTCCTATCCCCTCTTCCTTCCCTCTGGTGCTCCCTTAATGTTAATCATTACAGTAATAACAAATAAAAACAGGCAATAAATTATGCAACTCATGTCACTTGAGTTAATGCTTCAAAGGACATTTTTATTTTTTTTTATCTTTAAAGAAAACTCAACATGACATTGTTATGACTCTCAGGGTTCAATGTTAAAATACTTTACACCAAGGTGGGTTAGTTTCAGGTTTCTATTTTTTGCAACAGGTGCTGAAAGCTGTAAATGAAGGAAAGCACTAACCCCGGTGATCTCATTGTGCTGTTGAGCTTTACTGCCACCTAGTGCCTAAATCAAGAAATGTTTAATGTTGAAGTCAAAGAAAGCAAAGTGTTGTCAAACCTCTTTCAGATCCCACTTTAACCCTTTTCTCTTTCCTTTTCAGACAGGAAAGCCATTTTTTTCAACAGCCACAATGTTTCCAAACCTGAGTCGTCCTCAGACTTAACCACGGTACGTCCAAAGAGTCATGGACTTCCACCTTGTGCATGATATTTTTTTAGTTCTTTATTAACCAGTACACGTTAATATTTTATACCAGAGAGAGAACTTGGAGGGAGTGTCCCAGCCACCCAGCGACGATGTCATCAGAGAGTTGTCCAGGTCACTGCGGGAGGCACTGGGCGTGTCCCTGTTTGGTATTGACGTTATCATCAACAACCAAACAGGCCAACACGCTGTCATCGATGTCAATGCATTCCCTGGTAGGTACAGGTGTACAAGCAGGATTGTTTTGTCATCTTATTTTTATTTTTTTTTAAATTGAAATTAACAGTAAGCTTGACTTTTTCAGAAGCTTTCTCTATTGTGACCCTTTTTTTTTTTTTTTTTTTCTCATGTCACTCTGTCATTATGTGCACATGAACTACAATCGTTTCCTACAAACCCCATTTTATGATCCAATCCAGAGCAAAAGGAGCTCATCTGGAGATCATCAAATGAAGTGAAATGATTTCAGTTTTAGTTGCAGTACATGAAATCGTCTTAATTCATGAGTGGGCCTCTGTATTCTCAGGTTATGAGGGCGTCCCAGAGTTTTTCAATGACCTCCTGAACCACATCACCAGCGTCCTCCAGAGCCACAACCCAGACTTCGCCCCCTCCAGCGAGCAGCCCAAAGCGCTGCCGGTAAACACCACGGTACCCAACGCTGCCCCTCCGGCCCCAGGCTGCTGCAGCATGCTGGGAAAAGAGGCCAGTGGCAGCCCATGGATAGTAGAGGGAGATGGAGGCCTGAAGGGCCAGCGTCAGAGACTGGGGCTGCAACTCGGCCATGTCCCCCAACTTCCAGCAGCACTGTGCACTGTCCACAATAGCTACCAAGGCTTCCTCCCAGTGACTGACTCCCCCTACCCCTCCTACTCCGTTTGACCTGAACAAACAAAACGGATGACAATGGTGACAATAATAATGAATAATAATCATAATAATTATGATGTTAATGATTATAATATATCTAATCAAAAAGCAAACCTTTTTCCTATATAGTTATTGAAAATGGTGGTGATTGGGTGTACGCTTTTTTCTCTCTGCCTTTTTGTATTATTGGTTTAGTCTAATGAGACTTAACAGTACTGTAATGTGAACTTTTGGGAACTTTGCCTAATAGCTGATTTTATTTTTCTCTCTTATGTGAGTTCTTTGTGATTAAAGGGTCCAGATGAGGTAGCCAATCAGGACTGGAGACAGATGTGCCACTAGATGTGCAATGTATGATCTATTGTTTCTCTAACAAACATATGAACACACAGGTGGGCTTAGATTTGCCTGTGATGTGTGTTTGTTATCAGTCAGTCACAGTGACTCCTCTGCACAAAGTGAAGAGGGGAAAAGGTGGCCTGATAGTTGAACACTACTCCACAGATCCCAGGCTGCTATGTGACAGTGGCCAACTGATGCTAGAGGACAATGAGTCTAAAAATGAATGACAAGATAGTTTGAGGTTTTGTTAGTTTGAACAAACAGGTAAAGAAGTTTACTGCTCCGAGTGCCATCAGATTCACTTTAAGTGTAGAAAGAACGCCTGAAAGGAGAAAAAAAACAAAAAACCATCACCTTTAAAGGTTGAACAGAAGAAAGATTATCTCCATGACCATGTGACCAAGTTTTCTTTTTTAAATGATGGTTGTTGCATCACTGTTTGTAGGTCTTTACGGATGCTACTGTATGAATGATGTTAGGTGTTAAACAAACAAACTGTTCTTGTTCGAGTCACTCCAGTGCAGGAAGATGAGGATTGCATTCCTTTTTGTGTTTGTGGATGTTTTCCAGAAAATTCCATGATCTTTCTTTCAGAATTCCAGTGGGATTTTGTGAGATTTCTCTCATCATAACTATGGTTGTGTAATCTCCTTAAACAGACTTTCTCAAGTGTCTTTGGTGATTCTATGTGATGTGAGCAAATGTTCTCCTGAGGCCAACTTAATCTATCAAACAGACTTTGGGGCTGCTGTGTAGCTTGTCATGTGTCATGATGCATAGGGGGGGAAAAAAAATAAATCAATCCTGCAAAGAATATGGTAAAAAGCTGTGTCAGGACACCCACCAATTGGTTACTGATTATTTTGATACAAATAAGCAAGAACAGATCTAGATAAGGATTTGACTGAGGCTCTAGACTGAAGGATTTGTTCAGCAATATGAACTGTTTTTTCTTTATAAATGCAGTTAAAGAAACCTTCTGCCTAGCCCGTTTATTTTCCTCCAGCTGCTGTATTTCTGTACCACTTTGAAATTATTAGGAGGGGAGACAGTCCAGCTCTTTTTTTTTTTTTCCCAGTGTTCACTGAGAAATGTTTTAACTCTGATTTTGTTAATATCTTTGTCCTGATATCTACTAAGAGCTACTTTTATTTTATTGAGATTTTATGGTGGTGGTGGGGGGGTGGGGTTGTTAATATGAACGGAAAGAAAAGCACGAGATGTTTTGGAACAAATGGTGGATATTTACTAGAGGAGTAGTAAAACGCTGGGTGTGGTTGTACAGGTGGGGTCAAAGGGACAACCTGCAGTAAATACAGATTTTCTCTTTAGCCTTCCTCTGAACTTGCTGCTTCTTCTTCCTTTGTCCCAAAGACCTCCTTGCTGTTTTATTTCCTCCATCAGTATCTGAGGGGACTGACTGTCCTCTACCTTGTACTATGATCATAAATCGTGTCAGAGCGGCCATCTCACTGGGACAAAAGCAATCTGAAAAAAATAAATAGTTTTCGGTGTTGTCGAGCTCGAATGAATTCCGAATGTTGCAGCAGGTTCAGAGGAACGTCTTGCATCTTTTCCCTACTGATTCCACATCAATAGGGACAAATATGAGTGTCCCAGTTCAGGCTGATACGTGTGTACCACTATATTGTGTGTCCTATGTTGTGCTCCTAATTATACTTCTAAATGGGAAATAAATGGTTAATCCTACCCTCGGTCATTTCTGCAGCCTAGACAGTCTCATCATGCTCCCAGCCTCCACCTGAATGTTTACGTCTTGGTTGTCTTGTACAGTACATGTATATATGCCTAGGCTTACATCCGTACAGTATGTTGTTTTGTATCAGTTCTGTAATCGAGAGATCCACAATTTTGTGACCTTTTTTTAATCAAATGGCCAAAACAACAGGGCAAAATAAACATGTGAAACCTCATGTGGCTGCAGTTGATTATTGCATTGTGTAAAATGCTGTCGGTTTTTTTAGGTGTTATGAAGGTCTCTAACAGCACATGATGGATTTACAACTTCACTTTATTTTTGAATATTCTGCAGTACTGTAGCCTTGCTTTCTTATGAATTCTACATTCCCAAAACCATATTGAAACTCTTAATACTTTAATTCTTTCTACAAAAATACTTTCATGAATAGATTCACTGCAAAACAAAGTGCAGAATTCCTCCATCCGGCCTCCAGATGTTTATTGTCTCAGTTTCACACATTTCATGGAAGTGTAGACTCACTTACAATGACACACACGACACAAATGTTTCCAACAAGGCCAGACTCTTTACAAATTGTTTTTGGTTTTTTTTTTTTTTACATAAAAATATATCTTTTCATAATCTTAGTCTTCTGTACATGTAAAAAAAAAAAAACACACAACACATATGTATTTACAAGAGCACCGGACAAAACATGTTATAAAGACTTCTAATGCTACGAGTTGTTTTTTAATCTATTAAGTGTGTTGATGAGGTTGTAGTTGATGTGCTGTCGGGTTGGCCAACAGTCCGAGTATTGTGGACAGACAGTGCAGCTTCTCCTTGACATGTTCTGGCAACTTTTCATTCTCCTTATACCTGTGAAGAAAACAATTCCATTGAGATTAACCGCTGCACTTACTGTTTGGTATCCTTCAGAGTCACTTGCAAGAGCATCATGGAATTCATTAGTTTGCTCTTTATAAAGATATAATCATAACTTAAAAACAGTTGTCCCCCAGCTGATATTGACGATAGTCCATATGATTCCAACATGTGTCTTTACCTGGTGATCCTCCCCTCTGGAGATGTGTAAGTGATGCAGGACACTCCCGCCTGAACCACCAGCTGAGAGCCGTCATTGAACTGCACCCACACCTCTCCACTCGTCAGCTACACACACAAACACACACACACACACACAAACTGGGATTATAATCAGAAAGACAGCTCCTCTGCTAATATCCACAAACAATACTTATAAAGCACATTTCAGACAAATTCAATTGCAGCTCTTGAGTGCTTTACAAGGGAGGGGGAAAAGTGAATAACAAAAAGGTAGAAAATAAAAAATCTGAGGGGCCGTCCTGGTTCATAAACTAAAATCATCTCTGAGAGGTAATCTGGTACAAGACCATGTAGTGCTTTATAAAGTAAACTCATTTTAAAATCAATACGATAACTAAGAGGCAAAGACTTTAAAGTAGGAGAGATGTGTGCTCTCCTCGTGATCTTGTCAGCACTCGTGCAGTAGAATTGTGTATTAACTGTAGCTGATTTATAGTTTTAGTTAGGGAGACCAGAAAGGAGAGCGTTGAGTAGTCTTGTTAGTTATACAAGCCTGCGGTCTGATTGGCTCAGAGACAGGAAATGGCCTTACTTTGGCAATGTTTTTTCAGATGATAAAATGTTGTCTTTGTGATGTGGGCCTCAAAAGTGACATCATCCTTAAAATCTAAATCAGAATGAAAGATCCCTCAAAGATTTCATGCTTCTTGGCTTTAGGTTTGGGTAATATTTTATGTAGTTTTAGGGTCAATTTCTCTCTCTGAGCCTTTGAAACAATGATTAAAACTTCTGCTTTGTCATTATAGGATATGAGATTCATTGAACACCCGCCTACCTGTGATGCCCACCCGACATTGGGCACAAATATCGACTTGATCACTTTTCCTGTGTTCTTAGCCAGTTCCTGCCGCACCGGGGAGCTTTTCTTACTCAAGCTGGCTGTGGTAAAATCCGAGCCATCATAAGAGATCATCTGGAAGGAAAGGTCATAAGATTATAGACATAGCAGAGCATAGTGTAGATGTAAAAGCCTCTGCGCTGTCTTGTCTATATTCTAACTTTTGTAGGGCTGTGAACTCACTGAAGGAGTGATTTGTGGAGGTTGAGGAGGTGAAGCTGTATCAGCAGTTGGCGGGTGTGTCGGCAGGGATAATGAGCACGGGGAGTCAGAGTGGACAGGTCTCCTTTGAGAGGTGAGATATAAAAACAATATATTATACACAATGCGAGGACAATAACAGAAACAAAGAATAAACAAAAATAACAGTTGTTCCTCTCACCTGCCAATTGTTATCGGGAAAAAAGGGACGTTCTTGGTGCTGCGCTGCTCCTCTGCAGCGATGGCGGCCTCCAGAGACAGACACATGCTGTGTCCTTGGTCAGACAGCTCCACGTACAGCCGGCTCTCTGGACTCAGGCCGCTCAGCCCGACCTCTCCCTTCACTGTGTACGACTTCCCGCCCTTCTCCACCACTCGCAACAGCTCCGATGTCTTGTGGGTCTTTGCTCCTGCGCAACAAGAGTGTTCATGAAGCCTAACACGATACAAGACCTCAGACAGAATAAAAAAGGTCAGTGCTGCTTCTTCCTCTGCAGCTTAAACATGTAGCGGTATGTTTGACTCACCATCGTAGAAGCAAACCTCCAGGTCTGCGTTGGGACAGTTCTCCATCAGCATGACCTTTCCATGTTTGGTGTAAAGTGTCACTTTTGGAGTCTTGGATTTCACCAGCTGCACAAACTTAGAGGCGTATTGGTACTTCTTCCAGTATTTTTCTACGGAAAAAATAACTGAATCAACACACTTTTTTATAATCCGACGTGAGCACTGATATGATAGTGAGTGTGTCGGACCCATCAGGTTACCTGGAAGATCCTCGTAGCTACAAATGAGAATATCCTCTGGAGGAGCAGGTGGACAATCCAAGACCGGAAACCCCTTTCCACTGTTAGGCTGGTATATTGTCACCTTTGAAAGATAATAATAAGCTTACATGTAAAAGAATAGAAATATCCCATCCTGCTACCGTTTTCTCTGTCTAATGCATCTTCCCACTGTGAATCTGTGTACTGAAAATATAAACAAAGGTACTTCAGGTCTGAAAGCTGTAATCTGCTTCTTCTTTGACCAGCCTGGTGGCAGTGACTGAGACTAAAAATAACTATTAAGGAATAGCCTATCATCTCTTTGCTGGTTATATTTAAGCAATTATATTTATATTCAGTATTTTAGTCTGCTTACCAACCAAACTGAAACCCATCATAACTGGTGCACGTATAAACACATGGAGCTCACCATTGAACCATCACAGGAAATCCGAAGGACTTCTTTGACCCGTTCCTGACCACTCTGGCATTTTAATAATTCCATACAGACTTCACCAGTGTCCAGAATGCTAACCTGTAAACATACAAGCAAAATAAATTAGGCTTCAATAAAAGCAGTGTAAAAAAAAAAAAAACAGCACTGATGAAATTCTTTTTTGAATTCATCGAGCAAACACAACAATTAAATAAAAACCTAAATCTGAAATCTGGCATGAAAAGGAGCAGGAAGAATTATCTTACATAATCTGCCTCTCTGTCATTTTCAATTACTTACAACAGCATTCTTTGTCTTCTGTCTGATAGGCTTGAGTCTGGCTGCACACAGAGGCAGGACAATGTCTTTCAGCGTTTTCGTCACTTTATCCACGCTTGGCTTGGCCGAGGAGAGCTTTGACTCTCTGCCGTGAGGAGGCTGGAACTCTGCTCCGGGTACATTTTCTCGGTACGAGTCACAGTTGGAAGGGAGGTTGTGATGCATGTGATGTTGGTTGTGCTGAGGGTTTGCACCTCGGCCCGTGGGCTTGTCTGACCAAGAGTTGTGAACACCTACAGGTCCTTTGCTGCTGTGGAAGCTGCCGCTGCTGCTGTGGGTGCTGCTGTCTGCGGGCCTGTGCCCAGAGCCTGAGGCAGAAAAGACAATTGTAAGAGTTGCTAAAGCAAGGTGGTTTTAAACTGTGTTGATGTGGTTTAAAGGCCTTTTTTTAAATCATTTTGTAAACAGTCTTCATTCTGGTTGATATGAGGGTGACTGAAGCGTACTCTAAATCTAAGGATAAATCTGATCATAGCACAGGATAACAAAATTCAAAAGCAGTCGCCAACTAATGCACATAAATACATTATATAGGGACAAAGGAGATACAACTTCTGAAATTTATCGCATAAAAAAAGGTTTTAAAAAAATACAAAATAAATTACCGTCATTATTAAGCCAATTTGTAACGCCCTCCAGATTTTGAAATTGAAGGCTTGGTGGATGTACAGCCTGCATGGATAACGAATACCCTGAACTGAAACAGGAAGTGCACTCTGTTAGTCAAATTCCATTTTCAAAATGAACAGAAGATGTCAAAAAGAGAGACTTCTTACTTTGCTGACTGTTTGACAGGAGGAGATGGGAGCCTCCCTCGCTCGGATAATGGGTGCTGAGCAGAGGACATGAGGAATACTGGTCCTGCTGAACTACTCAGCATCTCCTCTGAGTGGCATCTCCCCAGCTCAGTGTAACTCAACATGTGGCCAGAAGCAGAAGAACTGGAGCGGTCTGAGGAGTGCGCTCTCCTAAGGTAGCGTGAATGAGGTTGTCCTGTCCCCCCACCATGACCTCCTCTGCCCCTGCCGTCTCTGTGAAATCTGTCCGCCGGATGCTGCTGCCACTGGTCCCCTTCCTCAAAACAGTCCCCAATTGGTTGCCGTGGAAGACTAGAAATGGGTGCCATGCGGTTAGGCAGAGTAGATCCAATCACGTTCCTGGTTCTCCTCTGGAGCCTGCTGTTGCTGCTGGCTGAGGTGGAGGAGGTGCAAGCTGTGGAGATGGTGGCAATGCCACTGTCCATGGATCCTTCGTCCCCGTGGCCCAGCTCCTTTGCCCTGACCAGCAGGCTGTGGGTCATAAACGGGTGGTCCAGCACCGCAGAGAGGCTGGGTCGATGTGCAGGGTCTTTCTGCAGCAGCTGATGGATCAGATCCTGAGCCTCCAGAGAAACATGGCTGGGCATGTCATATTCCCCAAGAACCACTTTAGACAGGGTGTGCTTCACTGTGTCTGTGTCAAAAGGGGGTCGACCCATCAGGAAGGCGTAGAACATGCACCCGAGTGACCACACGTCCGATTCCAGGCCGTGGGCGCTGCGAGTGGCCACCTCTGGGGAGATGTAGTTGGGTGTCCCGCACATGGTGAAGTGCTTTTCAGTCGGGAGTTTGAGCTGAGTGGCAAGGCCAAAGTCTGCGATCTTTATGTTCATGTTGCTCGTAAGCAAAAGGTTGGACAAGGTCAGATCTCGATGCAGGATGCCATGGGTGTGAAGATACAGCATTCCTTTCACTATTTGATGCATAAAATGTCTTGCTGTGAAAAAACAACAACAACAACACAATTTTAAACACTCATGCAGCTCCCAAAATTGGTATTCACAAAACAGTAAACAACAACAACAGTCTTTTTGTATTCTTTACGGTACAAAAAAAAAAGCTCTGCCTGACCTTCATCCTCAGAGAAAGGCATCTTTCTCTCTTTAAGGTACCGACTCATCTCTCCGTTGTGGCACATCTCCAACACCAGGTAAACATAGTTGCTGTCCTCAAAGTAGTTGTACAGCTAATAAAGACATGAAATATGACAACATTTATTGAGATGGAAATGTGAAAAGACATTCAAAAATATCAGTGCAAAATCTGTAATGCATTTCACTTCAAAGTCTAACCCTGTTGTAATGCTGTGGTCCAAAGAAGTGTAGCAGAGTGACTGCTAAAAGTTCATACCAGAATCTGAACATTACAGGAGGTAGGAGTCGGTTTACCTCATTACACAACCAGAACAATACAACAGAGCTGATATTCACAGCCTCAAACACAAATGGTTCACATTCAACACATTAGCCTGTATAGTTTGAAGCCTGTTTACATGTAAAGAGTACCAAAACAGACTTCGCAGTAAAGACTTATTACATTTTTAAAGAATATATTACCTCAAGTATTGAAGGATGTTTCAATCGGCACTGAATCTCAACCTCGTTTGTCACACGCTGGACCATACCAGCTTTGTGCATTGCTTTTTTGTCAATCTGCAAACGGGAACAAAAGAGGTAATTACACACCTGTCACACAATCAACATGCAGTGTGGCACAGCGCTGTTGCAAAGCGGTTTTGGTCTCATGGCAAATAGTCAATCTGTCTCCCTCAGAGAGACCCCAGACCTCATTTGTGGGCAGTCGAGGGACTCTAGGAAGCCCTCGGGAGACAATTAAGGTATAATAATCCACCGCTTAAACTTCAACCGTCAGTCCTAGGCGACAGCTTGGTCGTTAAAATGTTTACAGTGCAGGTAAAGCGTTCCACAATGTCCTGATATTACTGACTTGGACGTGAGAAAGTGATGGAGGAAGTCTTACCGTTTTGATAGCAACCTCCAGACCAGTGTTCACTGATTTTGCACGGTAAACACATGCAAAGGAGCCTTTGCCAAGGAGGGTGAGGACCTTGAAATCCTACAGGGAGGAAAGTAAAAAAAAAAATAACTTTGACCCCAAAACAGATTGTTCTTTGCAGAGAAATCTAACTAGCCTAGATTTTTTTTTTAAATAATCACCACACACACATATCTTCAAAAGCTTGATACCTCGATCCTGAGCTCCTGAGTATAATATAAACTTTTTTCTTCATCTCTGCTGGCTTGGGTGTCAGCAGAAGGGTTTTGAGGGAAATAGTGAATAAGGGGATCAAACACCGTCCGTCCAAGCTGCGACATGCTGGATGTCCAGTAAAAAAAACTAAGACAGTCCAGCAATCTAACGAGATCACGGGAGAAATCCTCCCACAACAAAACGTTAACTGTCAAACCTGCCACTAACACCTGACGCCGTCATATGGCCCAACCAAAAACCTTCAATCATCCCGGCTCTCTTCCCGCTAACGAGCAACACCAGACGCCGTTTCCAAGCAGCGTTTGTTGAATGAAGCGACGCGGAGAGGAGAAACAACACAGTTTGTCCCGGGAGACGCAGGGTGAGGTTACTCAGCCGTGCAGCTGATAACACAGACAATATCAATAACAATAACAATGTTGGAAACTTCCAGTATGAATACTTAAAACACATATTTAGCGAACAAGAAGTGACGAGAAAAAAGCTAAAGTTGCATGAATCATGTTGTGGCGTTTACTTGGTAAACACGTTATTGTTGTTAAATTAATCGAAGGACTGATGCTTTATCGGCAATTACAACATTGTTTTGTCACGGCAAACACTGTTCATCAAATGGTTAATCAGCCAACTAAATATTTATCTCCCACTTTAGATCTTTCTCGGGTTAGTTTGAAGTTAGCTGGCTTGTGGGCGTTAGCGCCTCAAAAGTTAACTCACCTCAATCTTATCGCCGATAGAAACACTCATCGTGCCCGCTTTGCGTCTCGCAGATGCATGAAGGTGAGTTTAAAAAATAAATCGATCGATTGAGCCATCGATATTCGTTAATTGAGCCTTTTAAAGGGCAAATAGATGTTGTTCTCGTGTTGCCCTCCAAAACTTTGCCATTTCTTCCATTTTGAAAATATCCGCCCGTTAGTCCCGTGCACACGTCACACCCTACGTCACATGACAACAATCAGGGTTTTCCACGCCCCTAGAAAGTATGGAGGACTAAAAGTGCCAAAACGAAATATATAAATATGTAATTAATTAAATCATTAAATGTGTTATCAATTATTTAATATTGGAAATAAATCAACAAATATATAAATAAATATATAATTATTTAATTAATTAAATGCATGTGGTATTAAATAATTATTTAAATGTGTTATTAATTATTTAAAATTGGTAATATATAAATAAATAAATAATTTATGAAATACATAAGTAATTAGATAAATATTTAAATCATTATTTAAAATGTTCATTCTATGTATTCTTCTTCTATTCTATTCTTAGTCCTCCATAAGAATGAGTCACACAGTGGTGTTTACACCTTACAGTCAGTATGGTTTACAAACATTTGAGCATGTTAAGGGTCTGAACCTGTCCATTAAACTATATATTTGTTAAGTTTAAGTTTGTACTGTATTGATTTACATGATCTATTAAGGCCTCTGTTTGCAGGTCTAGTTTTAGAAATCCAAAAGTCTAATAAACAATTTAGAAAATAAAATTTAAAAACATAAAATCATACAAGTGTAATCAGGCAAACAGTAAATATCATCACTAAAAAAATTGTTTAAAATCCTAAACTAATTGATACATTACATAACATACATTATTTATTCTAGTGCTGCAGCTTTTTATTTTCATTGTTGTCTTAGATGATAAATGTCACATTATTGATTCATCTGGTTTATTGAATATGTGAAGAAATGGTAAATAATGTAAGGTGACATGTTTAAATCCCTTTTTTTTTGAAAACAGTCTTCCAAAAATGACCACGTTTCAAGAAGGTTAACATAAATATTTCTTCAATTTACTGTTTAATTCATGAACCAATTTACTTTACAATTTACAGTTGACTTATTGAAATAAAACCAGCTAAAAAAGTATTTTTTTCAATAAAAAGCTGGCTTTCTTTATTTATTATGAGTTCACATAAGAGTATATTTGTGTGCAATCAGAAAACCTTCAGATCCTCTTGTCACAAGTGATGCTTTAAGATCATCAGTATTGGAAATCAGGGCCAGTATTTAAATGATTGTAGGAGAAGATCCACATGTCAGTATTTGCCTCCTTTTTTTTTTAGCAATCTCATTCAAGGATTTCCAATGGACACAAATTCTCTTGATTAGAGTAAATTTCTTTTTGTTTCAGCTGTAAAAAATAAACATTTCAGACTTCAGTCATTTTTGTCTTACAGACAAGTGTATTTATTTTTGCCATCTTTAATCCAATGACTAAAGAATGGAAAAATGCGAGAAAACAGAATAAAGGAAGTAGGTGACCAATCACTTACTGGAGAGATTTGGTCTATCAAGCATTACCATTGTACTAGGAATATTCTCTCTATGTACATTTATAATATATGCTGGCTGCTTTTATTTTACTTAAATATATATACAGTCTCTTAACATGAACATCATATTTAGCTAAATACAAATATATATATACTTATATTATATATAATTTCAATCATTGCATACAAACTAAAAGTTCTGCTGTAGTGATTGTTTAGCACGGTCAAGACGCCTATGAGTGACAAGTTTTACTTGAGTATAAAAGACACATGGAATGCAATCACCAAGAAACCTTCCTGTTTGGTACAGAGAAAAAGGTTTTATATATTAGAAGCAAAGTTGAATCCATTGCATCATTCTTTCTTTATTGAGGATGTCAAACCTTTGAGAGAGTAAAGCACACCTTTTTCACACACAAGGAGGAAAGGGTGAAAACAGAATCCTCATAAGGTTAAGTCCAATCAAGAAGGGAAAGCAGCACAGAAAACAAATCCACCAAAGTGACTTGAGGTGATGTCGAGGAATGATGGTTCCAGGTATTTATGTTTCTACTGTCTAAATGGTAGCTTGTGGTAAACGCGGTGATGGTTGTAGTGCACAGTGATCTCAGTCCACCTCCATCTCTTTCGTTCCAGGCTTTGTCTGCTGGCTTCCCTTCACGTCTCCCTTCCCTTCTGCTCCCTGCTTCGCTGTCGGGCCGTTATGAGCACCACTGTTTTGGTCGTTCGCCTCAGGGGCCTCCTCCACTGTCGGCTTTGGCCTGTTGATCACTCGATTACACACATCCTCTAGTTCCTGGTGAGTAAGAAGTGGACAGTATGTTGGTAGAGGCATTCAGAAGAATGATACAAGTGGAAGTAAGTCATCTACATACCTGTATTTTGGAAATGATGTCTGCTACTTTAACAATGGGGTCCTGAGTTATACCAAGTTTGCTCTGCGCGTTCATCTTGCTGTTCATCCAGCCCATGTTTTCACTCACACATTTTTCCACAGTGCTCGTTTCCTCTGCAGTCAAATGCTGGTATCGTTCATCCTAGGGAGTAGTTTGTGACAAGGAAATTACTCAAACATGACACAGACGTTTACAGTAGTAATAGTTACGTAAGTGTGTTAAATCACACAGGTAGAGAAATCTCAAATAGCTTTTCCTTTTCACATAACTGGCACTTTGTCGTACCCTGATGACTACCAGCGTTCATAGACAGACATAGACATGCTTATGAAGAACTCTACAAAACCCCTAAATTGTACTTAAAAAACAAAAAACACAATGTTTAATCTGCATGTTTCCATACTTTTATTTTTTGGCACAAAAAAGACGATAAGACATCCCATCTCGAGATCAAAATGATGTACCTTTTGTTTAAAACAATCCACAAACTTCATGTAGAGCTGCAGTTTCTTTCCCAACTCTTCAAAAGCTCTCGGCCTGTCCTCATGCTCTCTGTGCCGGTCCTGAATGGGCTGACCAAACCTCTGGAAATCAGCAGAATTGATGTTGATCAGTGAGGGTTAGGCACAAGTACAGCCAAGTTAGTTTTTAAATCAGATCAAACCTTTAGTGCTTGAAGTTTCTCCTCATAGACTGGTTTGGGTTGGTCCTCTCCCTCCTCATACAGCCAGTTCTCTGTGTCCTCTAGCATCAGTGTCAGCCGGTTACTGTCCTGTTAGTAATGGTTGTAGTTAGTGTCGATCATTTGCTTCTCACATTTATAGCAGCCTTGCAATAGTAGCACAGGTATGTAAGAGAGCAGCACTCACTTCCTCAGTGATATACTTTTCATAGATCCCACAGAGTTTGTCCCGTAGGTCGTATACATACTCCTCCACAGCATTTTTAGCATCATTCAGCTCTTTAACCAGTTTGTCCTGGATGACCATCTGACGCTGTAATGGGAAAACATATCCAAAAGACGTCACAAACAAGGAGAGCCAACAAAAACAGTTGATAAGTTATGACAGAATCACATAAGAATGGACAATTTGAATTAATACAACATAACCCTTTAATCATGCTGTGGCAGATGTTGCTGATAAGTAAGCATTGAACAATCAGGGGCTCCTTCATGGGTCGTTCATTGTTTTGGAAATGTCAGAATAAAGTGACTAGAAGTGCAAGCCACAATCTTGCTCAGGTAATCAGCATTTCAAACAGACAATGACTCAGCTTTTCTAAAGGCCAGAAGAAGTACCAACCTCATACTCGACAAAGTTGTTTAGGACATCGCTCTCGAGCTGTCGAATGTTGTTGGCTACGATGGGCAGATCAATACTCTTCGCCTTGACTTTGGGTTTGCTTCCCCCCGCTGCTGGGTCCTGCTTCTCCCCAGATAGCTCTTCCTGGATTTAGAGACATGAAATCACTGTTCCATTTTTTCTGCTGTAGTTTTAATGCGACTTCTTTTGTAATGTCACCGTTACAACAGACGGGGCAGTTCACAAAACAATCTTCTTTAAGGGTAATTCAAATCTTTTTCAAGATCAATTAATATTCATGTTATGGATAATGTCAACTGATGCCACTGCATTAATTAATTCCCTCTGAATTAAAAGTATTAAGATCCTTGCCTAACATTTCTTGTCCAACTGACCTTACTGCTGGAACTGTTGTCCTCGCTCTGCTGGTCCCCCTGGCTTTGGCCTTCCTGGTCCACCTGCATTTTGGTCTAATAAACGACAAGAACAATATATACTGTTATCAGTACATTCAAGGAACGTTACTTTTACTCCACTCCTAAAAGAAATCCTGCACCAGTGTGCAAGTGATTCAGTCCGAGGATGATTCAATACAATGATGTGGCAGAGAAACTCTATGATCAATAACTAATCAATGGGCTTCATTCTTTCACTGGAAATAGACACTTTTAAACCATGTTATTAATAAAGCAGTATTTTAGTTCCAACATCCATGAGACCATTACATAAGAATAGTCAGAGTTTCATATGTACATGTCACATAGTTGTGATATTCTGCCTCTTAAGGGGAACTTCCTTCAAGTGCTTCTTGATTAAATGTGTTTGTTTTCTCTCATGTACAAACATTTTATGAAACATGATCATAAAAACACAGCTGCCCAACTATATTATCGTTATTTATCATCCTGGGATCATGACTGTATTGAGTTTCATGTAAACCCAGTTGTTGAAAGAGTTCACCAGAGGACATTTACATACTTTCACTGCTAACACAAACGCAACTGTGGCAAACAAAAAAAAACAACAACAATCCTCTCACCTGGTCCTCTGGCCTGCCTTCATTTTGCACCATTGGCTCCGAGTCAATTTGCATGTCCTCCCCCTCTCCTTTCTGCTTCTCAATCAGGGAGGCACTGGACACGCTGAAGATACCGTGGACGTTCACTCGCACTTTGACCTTCACTTTAGAGCTGTCTCCATCTGGCTGGGGAACAACGTTCTGTACAGAGAAACATCCTGCAAACAGATTATTCGGAAACAGTTATTCCAACATGTTCCTCTCTCAGTCCACAATCCCATCTTGGGATCCAGATCCCTGTGGGGACTCGTCTGCAAATGCGTGACCCAAAAATCTACTTTGTGCTTCAATCACTTCTTCTTCTAGACTTTTGCAGCTGGCAAAGGACAGATCTCCTGCTTAGTTTTGCATCCTGCAT